CAACATCTAAAAGTATATAAAATGAAGCAAATTCTTGAATTTTAAACATAGCTATGAAAGAAATAGAAAATACTATTTTTCGTTTTACAGTACTTTCTAATGACAGAGAATAGGGATTTGTCTGTGTTTTTTTTATAGCAAAACCACATCAGGTTATCTGCTATATCCACCGCGGGGAATCGAACTCTTAATAGAGGTTTTCAAGACATTTTTGTTGGTCACTTTTGCTCAAAATATTAAAACGTTAAAAAAAAAGAAATCCTATTGGCAACTACAATTTTATTGGAAAGTATTAGCCACACCCTAACACATCTCCGTGAAATTGTTTAGATTGGAATATTCAGTGGATATAGATATTAAAAATATATGACTGTATGCATGCGTTTGGATTTTTCATCGCCTGGATAAATAGATATATGTGTTTCAAAAAGTTATTTACTTCTTTTCAGCCATATAGTATCTAGTAACCCAAAAATTATCAACTTGTATTTACTTCTTTTCAGCCATATAGTATCTAGTAACCCAAAAATTATCAACTTGTATTTACTTCTTTTCAGCCATATAGTATCTAGTAACCCAAAAATTATCAACTTGTATTTACTTCTTTTCAGCCATATAGTATCTAGTAGCCCAAAAATTATCAACTTGTATTTACTTCGTTCACGAGAGGCGAGTTATACACTTTACTTAATACTGAGTGCCCCCAGTGGTACAGCGGTATGTCTGCGGACTTACAACGTCAGAAACCGGGTTTCGATACCCGTGGTGGGCAGAGCACAGATAGCCATTGTGTAGCTTTGTGCTTAACTTCAAACAAACAAACAATAATACTGAATAATTGTATATACTTGCCTGGTATTACACTTGATGTTATGACTGATCAAACATACTGATTAATGTCTCTCAGTTCCTACATAAAATACAGATGGTAATCTATGTATAGCAGTAATTGGTAGGATTAATTATAATATTGATACTTGATATTGATACATATGCTATTAAGAACTGTGGGATCAACATGCAATTTGGTGGATAACTAGTTTAGAAAAAACGTGATTGGAAAACCGATGGGATGTAGATTGTATTTATAATTATATGGTTAATAACTGCGGTTATATGACTGCTAAATGAACTGAGTTGTAAACTGAATTTGATATTTTGATTTGTCATGCATATTATAACAAACTTGTACGATACTCACATTTGATAAGTACTGGCTCCTGCTAATCATATATATATATATATACGTATTTGTTTTTTTTTTGTTGTGTTCTTTTTTGTAGTTAAGCACAAAGCTACACAAAGGGCTATCTGTGTTCTGCTCACCACGGGTATCAAAACTCGGTTTCAAGCGTTGTACGTCTGCAGACATACCGCTGTACCACTCGGAGGCATATGTGTGTGTGTGTGTCTATATATATATATATATATATACAATGTTCTAAAAATAACTATTTTTCTTTGGTTATCGTAAAATAAGTTCGAAATAGCACTACAGTAACTATAATATCCAAATTTGCTAAGACTTAGCTCAATGTCAAATAGTTTCAAAAATATACATTATCTTGGCTTGATACCTGTTGTCGTGTTCTTCTGTAGTTGTTTGTTATGAAATATGTGGTTGCATTAGCCAACGCTTGTAGAACATGTTATATTTGAAATAATGCAATTGCCCTGTAAACATTAACACCTTAATTTCTATCGTACATGTAATTACGTATATTCATAGGTATATTATCGAGACTATAAAAAGAAAGATTTCGAAAGTAAATGAGACTAGTACAGACCACCCACTTATAAACACGGCAGACCACTTTCATGGCATGTTACAATGTGTATTTTAAATAAATAATCACGAATAAGTTACATAAAATCTCTTATGATATGATGTTCAAAAGAAAAACAACAGTCTTTCCCCTGTAGTCAAAAAGCTGTTGAAACTATAATTGCAAAGATATAAACCGGATTTGTGTAGCTTTGTGTTTACCTACAAACAAACATAAGCATAAATTTTTAAAAAAACATATTTACCTATTCCGTTTTATATTAAATTGTATGTATACTTTAATAAGTTTTTATGTTCGCTTTTGTAATATTCAAAAAGTTTGTTTCATTGTCTCGATTCCAAAATATTGGTGATCAAAATCAGGAGGATTAAAAACTTCTCCTGTAAAAACGATTATGTATAATCTTCCACAATAAGTATGAAACCTAACAAAATATTAATTGAATGAGATTTACACTTAAAAGTGTTCATGATTGAAAAGCTCGGGTTCATTTTAAGTAAATTCAATAAATTAATATGGTGAATTAGTATGCTTTTTTGCCATGTAGACATGTTCGTGTGTGTGAGTCATATATAAAGTGTTGAATACATTTTTAATGAACTTTTCTATGCTTGCATGCTTATAATGATTGTGCATTCTCAGTTATAATACATAATATAAACCATTATTTGGCATAAGTTTGTGTGTGTGTGCCCGCTTATAAGTGGCGAATCGCTAAAATATATGTCACCAATCCTGGCATGTGCCCCTAGGGCCCCCTCGAAAGTGACATACAGTTCTGCGTTTGGATCGGACCCCTCTGTCACCTCGGAAGGCCCCTATGTCTTCCGCGTGAGTTGTGTCCGTTTATAACGGTCGAATCGCTGGATCAACTGTATGTAACCAGACTTGGCATATACCCTTAATTAAACTGATATATCTTCTCCATGCGTTCAATTGGGATATAAGACATATTCGGTATCTGAGAAAGATTACAGTCAACGTTTTACAAAATTTAATAACATGGATGAATGAAGCGAGAATCACAGCGAAATATGTTTCACTTCATTAACAATATTTTTTTCTCCGTTGAACTTATAATAACATACGAAACATACTGGAAAAGTTAAAGAACTATCTTTTTCATTTGAAGTCGAGCCGTTTCTAATGTTGTCAGAATTTACTACATATAATAATTGATTATGTAATACAAACGGAGATCAACTTAATTATCTGAAGTCCAAGAAGGAGTCGTAACAATGATGGATTATAGTTTATTTATTCTATATTTTCCTTGGATAAAGATTTTAATACAGAAACAAAATATTAAGTTATTTGGTATCTTCTATCAAGTGACAAAAATTACTATACAACACAACCAGTTACTGACTTTATACAAATATAGTTTACTAATAAGTCACACTTCACTTCGGAAGTGTGTGTGTGTGTGCGCGCGCGCGTGTGTATTTACATAAACACGTAATGATAAAGTGTTGTTGTTTTTGTGTGCGTGTGTGTTTGTGTAGCTCGAGCTTTTAGTTCTTTGCGACATCCATGCATATTATGTGTTTAAGGACATTTATTCATGCAGTTCCCTATTTCCATCTTTTGGAACACTTGTTTTTCCAAAAATGTCTTGACAAAATATTTTACATATTTATCTTCACGTATATTTATTACAACTTGTCAAACAACGAAGCACAACATAACCTGATATATATTAAAATATATACCCCTTAACCTCGTAGTAACAGGTAAATTAATGCAGGAGATTCATTAGAGATAAGCAACCAATCAGCCACGAGGATACCTCGTGAATATTGAAATTCGCATGAAGTAAATATTCGAGTTCTCTAGTTTTTGTTTTACTTATTTTCAACTGATAAGTTTAGATATGCACTAATCGCTGTGTCACAAGCATGAAAAGCAAGTGACCGTGAAAGGCCAATAGTAGATAGAAATTCCAATGTTAAAATCAAATGCAATTTACAATTTTCAAACCAAGATTAAACAATTTCAACTCACAGCAAACAGTATAATCACCCTTAATTTCGATAACAAACGGATGATTTTAACAATAAAACGAATTGTACTACATCTAGCAAGAAAATTGGATTTGAAAATGATATGATAATTATATACATATATCTTTAAAATTTAGTAAGATTAGGTTTCGGTTTCAATATAGAAACGTCGCTGAAAAGAAAACAATATTTTACATACGTTAACATATTTTTGTCTTGATAAAAACAAAACAAAAATTTTGGGATAAATCTCAAATGAAACGAAAAAAGAAATGGTCATTAAAAGATGTAAATTTTTTTATCGTTGACAAATGTAGTGTCTAAGAAGTGATCATCTTTGTCATTAATAGTAATTTGTTTTACTCAGAAACAATGCGTTAGCCGTCCCTAATTTAGCAGTATAAGACTAGAGGAAAGGCAGCTAGTCATCACCACCCACCGACATCTCTTGAGCTACTCTTTTAACAACGAATAATGGGACTGACTGTCACTTATAACGCACACACGGCTGAAAGGGCAAGCATGTTTGTTGGGATGGGGATTCGAACTCGCGACCCACAGATTGTTAGTCGAGCTCCCTAACCACCTGGTCATGACTAGGTATAAGGAAGTTATTAAAATTCAGTAACAAAATGAAGCTTTTCATTCAGTGTTATATTTTATATCTTTATTGTGCTGTCTAATAACTTAATACACAGATTATTAGAAATGTGTAATGTAGATTAGTAGGGATTGTTGTATCTACGCTTTGTACAGTGAAAGGAAGGATTAAATACTCATTAATTGTATGATATTAATTTGGCTCTGCATCAGAATAAACCTAATAATTATCAACTTAGTGGAAATAACCAGAATAAATTAGCTTAACTTAACTGGGCCCAGTTACAATATATTTTTAACAGTGAGTAGACATTTTGGTCCTGAAACGTTTTATATATTTTTCTTTCTGTGGCGATTTAAACCAAAGATTCAGCTAAACTGCTAAAGGCAACGAAATTTTTTTTTATCATTAGTGTTTTATATTTAATTTGTATAATAAAGCTGTATTACCATCTTGATGTCATTTTTGAAATTGCAAGTAAAATTGATGTTTATTGTGAAAGGACGTCATTTCAATGTTTTGATTCTAAATCAAACTACAGATGCATTTCATTATCATTAGAATAATCAGTTTAGTTCTTTTGTAAATAATTTTATACTGGAAAGTAGATTGTAATAAAATATTAATTTATGGCTGCTTAGAATATTTCCTTATAATATCTTTTTTAAACCTGAGGAATAATTTACGGTTAATAACGTTTTGTCTCTCCCTCCATACACTTCTGCCACGTCGTGTCTGTAGTCCACAATGAACAGCAAATACTGGATCCAACACCTGAAACTGGTATCCTGCCATTATCATTTCAAATACCTAGAAAGAAAATACACATTTGACATTAAAGCTTAACTTATTATTATTCTAGCGTACAAGAATAGGGTTTTTCTATGTTGTATCGCATATTTTAATACCCTAATTGGCGAAAATACATTCTCAATAATATCCAAGCGGGATGATTTGGTATTTGGATATTTAAATAATCAAAACTTGTAAATAGTTTAATAAAAGTTTTCAAATTAATTTTCAATGAAATCTTTCATTGTAAACTTAATACTAGAAAGATAAAAGAATTACGATTATTAAATAGATAAATACTTTTGTAAAATCACAATACACTAACTGCCCTGTTCAGTCTTGAAAATTTGTTTATTCAGTGCATTAGTTTAGGAGAAGTTAAAACTATACTTTTCTAAGCTTAGCAACGAATAATTCTAAGATTTAGAGTCCAACCTAAGAAAATAATATTAAATATGTAATGTATGTGATATATAAAATAAACTGAAATTAAAGTTTCAGTAATAGCTGTGATTGGTAATTTTGTTTAGGTTTATAAGATGAATACTAGAAAACAATGTTTAAAACTGTTATTATATAACTTTAATGCCATGATCAAGATAACTTTTATACATTTTAGGAACTTGGTTCACCTATAAAGAGTCATTTTTTCCAAGCAATAAGTTAGGATATTTTTGAAAAGAAGTTTCTATGCATCATGAATTTCGCATGTCCATTTTATTTGGCATCTATCGAATAACCCAATATGGTATATTTGACGCAATTATAAACAAACTTTCAATTAATAAAATCTGTAAATAAAAGACCTGAGTAAGTCCTGTGGTATTATCTTGTCTTATAAATAGCTGTAATTCATAATCTAAATGTATAATCAATTAACTATTAACTATTTAGACTCCACTGAAAACGGTTTGTCGTGTTTCATGTATAACACCAGTTTGATATTGAAGCCGTCCAAACATTACTAGCCAAATGTCAAAAGCGCCTTTCACATAAAAATCTTCGAACTTACTTGTGTGTTCCTTGTGAAACCATATCCTATAAATCGTTCGTCATGTCTTGGTATGTCCATCTTAGAAACATAGAACGGTTCATAGAAAAATTCATACTTTGTAATAGGGTAAGCAGCTCTTAATACCTTAGATTCCGGGAGTTTTTCCCACAGTGAGTGATTCGTTGCATACTGATTGTGCACAAAAACGACTTGATGAAAAGGCCGAGCTTGACCTTTACTAACCAATTGCAAAATGGTTTGTTTATTGGTTGGTAAGGAGACAGTGGCTGATACTTCATAAGTGGGAAGTACGTAAGCTATCTTATTCGAAGAGGTCCTATTTTGTTTCTTCAAGAACTTTTGGAGATCACCAGCTAACCCTGGTACTGGCAAGATATCAATGTCTGTGAGTAGATGATAGTCTGTATGGCATCCATCACGAGCAACATTGCGCATGTGATTCTGTGGATAAAGAAGCTTGTTTCTCCACTTTACAAACTTATCAGGACGCTCTTTTAACAAACCTTCTAGTACTTCTTTGTAAGCTTTACAAGTCAACTTATTCAATGTTGGTGCGTCTGATGTAATCAATGGTGGCATGTGCGTTGGATAGACAATGTGGAAGCTAACATGGCATTTTACATTCACAAAACAGTGTCTTAAGAAAGATATATAAACTTTGGCTACGGAAAACTCAACATCTGGCACAAATACTGATACAGAAATATCACCTTCCCAAGCACCGGCTACATCAACTAACCAATATAGACGGTCAACTGATCCCTGCGTTGCAAGGCAGATGCTATCACTGTATGATGAATGGCTGCAATCTGTTCTATTGACCACAAAGTCGTGAATTGTATACCTTTTCGAGCTATCAAGCCTTCCTTTACTTACGTTGAATATAAACGTACTATACTGAAAAGTTTCCAAGTCTTGTTTAGTGATAATTAATGGACGCCTTTCAGTTTGGTTTTTTAAAAGTCCTGGCTGGTGACCTGGAGAAGTAAACTGCGAGACCTGGTTGTATTCAGTAAAAAAGTTGAATGTCCATCTTTGTTCTCCACTGTAGTGGTTCTGAAGGATCAGAAAACCAACAAGGTTCCAGCAGGTGAGGATTGATATGGCAATCAGGTATGTGGAGAACGACGTTTTTCTAAATCGTTGAGCACATTGTGAGCTCATAACTAGATAACAGTCTGTAAAGTGAATCAAGAAATAAGATTATTTTAATTCAATATAATATTAATTAATGCAACGAAAACAGGGATTAAAACAATTTTATTTCTCTTAAAGATTACAGGGTAAAGTAGTTTGAATTATCTTATTCTGGGAAGAACTTCAATACGTCCTTAAAATGTTTCCCTCTCAAACAGCTCTGTACCTTAAATAAGATGATTTTATACACAACATCCTTTTATGTCTTTCATTCTTTCTCTATTGTCAACTTCAACGCCCACACACAAATTCCATTCTAATTCTTAAGTAAAATAAATAATAGTGTGTGTGATAAAATAGATAAGATACATTCCTTTATATAATATAATATTTGAATTTTATGCTGCATATCATTATGCTGAAATCTAAAGAACTTCTGTTTCACTAAATAATTAGGGATAAAAATTTCAATTTGATAGTCTTTAATATATTGTTTTTAAGAATACGCACATATAAATCATAAGAGTAGAAGATAATGATGTTGCAATGTCTAATGTACATATCCACAAAAAGATCCATTTTTTATCTAAAAGTCAGAATATCTAGAACATTTTTCTAATGTAGTATTTAAATTTAGCCAGTAACCATACAATAAATGCTATTTATGCGTTTTAACTGTTTCCATATTGATGTGGTATTCTCAGGTAAAACTGATTTCCCAAGAGTGAATAACATAGGTCCGATATATAACGAGAGATTCGACCAGGAAATATTACCAAATAATTTACTATTTCTCTGGAACTACCCGGGTTTGTAGAAGAAAAAGAGACTGAACACAAATGCAAATAGACAGTGAAAATAATCTTTATTTAATAACAAAACAAGACATCAGTGTGTGTGTGTGTGTGTATCCAGTACAAAGAAAGATCGCCTTTACTTGAGGATGTTAGCTTTTGAATTTTTTGTAGCTATATATCTCTGTATAAGGTCTATGAATTCTGTACGAAAAATATGTATATATATAATTAAAATCTATAGCATTATAGTCTTCTAGGTAACTTGTCATTCCAATTAGAAAATTCGGGAGGTTGTGACTTTGAGATATCACCTGACCTATCATCGGATAAAATTGCTGTCTACTTTCATAAAGTGCCCGGCATGGCCAGGTGGATAAGGCGCTCGACTCACAATCTGAGGGTCGCGGGTTCGAATCCGCATCCCACCAAACATGCTCGTCCTTTCAGCCGTGGGGGTGTTATAATGTGACGGTCAATCCCACTATTCGTTGGTAAAAGAGTAGCCCAAGAGTTGGCGGTGGGTGGTGA